GAAGAGGAAAGGTTGGGAAGGAAAATTGGATTTGACGGTGGAGGAGACGCGTAGTAAGTGGAAATATCCTCTTTATGTACGTCTCCTCCGTCAATGAAGGGTAGGCAACGCATCTGCAATTGCTGTTGTTTATGGGCAGCGGTCGTTTTCCTTTTCGGTGGATTCAGGTGGCCGCTTGCTTGTTTGCCACCTTATATTATAAAAAAAATAGCCTTCGCTTGACTATGGCACGCCAACATAATATATGCGATATTAAGAACATCGCCAGTTTCTCGCGGCTAGGCGCAAGTTGAATTAGGGTTTCATCATCTCGATCATCGACATCATCTCGATCTTCTACTTTGTTAGGAGTTTCCATACATGTTGTCCTCATCTTACTAATATTATAAATCCGAAAGTTTAGATGGATGGATGTTTATTAGAGTTTGTAACCTAAATTGCTGAACGGATCTCGATTACATTTAGTATAGAGGATATTCTGGCTTAGTTACTTTTGTTTTTTTATTGCTGCAATATAACAGGAAAGGATTCTAGGAACTGTGTTGCAACATCATTTTTTTTTATTGTGAAATGATAAGAAGTTAATTATTTTTAACAGTATGAGAAAATAATACTTGTAGCTTTTTGTGTTAATTCAACACCTGCCGTTATCCAATTAATTCATTGACATTAAATTTTTGGAATGCATTCTGTGTAAACCCGGAAGGCCCCGGTTATACCAGTTTTGATAATATAATATTTTTTTATCGTATTATTGATACATGTACTTCATTGTTAGAAAATAGCAACCTCATTTACCTAAGATCGTTAACGCATACTAATCTATCTTATAAATACCAAAAAAAATCTTTGACGTTTTTAACATTTATTTCCGAATATCCGATAGCGAAATTATCTTTGCCCATAGACTTAAATAAATTAAAAAGTTAAGTTTATTCAGCTGTAATTTAATATTTATGTAATGTTTATTTTTTTCTTCCTATCATCGCCAAATATATTTCTCGAGTATTGTTATTGACTCACCACTCACCAGTAACCTTGTACATTACTAATATAAAAAATAACCTCACCAAAAGTTACGTAAATGTATTTATTTTAAGAAAAATATGTTATATTTTAAGTTAAGCCTCAGCTTAACTATTCACAAATGTTTATCATTAAAGTATACGCACTTATGATAAGTTCTCGAGAAATATTTACGCCGCCCCCTGGTGGCGAGATTAGTGACATCTGAGCACTCCGTTATCACAGATAATGTACGAAATGAGTGTTTACATAATTAGCGGAAAACCACCGTCTACGATACAATCGTGCGAGGAAACACTTCATGATATTGTTACGAGAGCAGGGGATAGAGTTAGAACGCCTTAAATTTTCTTCTTAAAGTTATTCGCGACTTACAATAACAAGGAATCAGTGCACTCACACTGTTGTTTCTTAACATTTAATTTCACAAAATACAGGAATATTAACACAGAACACCACTGGCACTGTAGCACTTTCACTTTTATTCCGCGGTCACTTAATCTTCTTCGTAATTCGTTTAGGACTTCTTTTCACAGTTCACTTTTCAATATATGACTCCCCGAGTCACTACTGACTCCCCTTGTATACCCCGAATTTCGATCTTCCTTTCGTTATTAATTAATCATTTTATTCCAGAACTCTCTCGATAGTTCGTACATAAATTTCATAATGGAACATTTTCGATGCCGTTTCGAATGTTCCAGACATCTTTTCGCGAACGTCATTTTCGCTAATCGCGGCGATCGAACACTCTAGGAACAGCTCGATTATTCTTCGGATATGAATTCCGATATTCATCAATAGATGACGTTGCTACAATATGCTAAAGTGATTGATTTCAGCGGAAAATCGTGTACTCCACCTATCAGTAATTAGTCTAGACAGATTACAAGCAATTACCAAATTGTTCACGGAACGAATGAATTATGAAAAACACAGACCTCATTTGAATTGATATGACATGAAAGCAAAATGAAAATCAGATCAAAACATTTAACAAATCTTAGGAATTTCCTCGTTTAAATACCGAATTAATTCGATTTAGCCGCTCTAAAGTGCTTCACAATGGACAGGTTCTATCTCTTGTATGAAATAAATGTGACACAGCGGTCAGTGATACAAAAACTTTACCCCAAAAGCTCGCTAAAACGCAATAATAAGGTAAACACATCTGTCTCAAAATGCTGTCAATAAAGTGTACCAGGCTAATCATCGTCCCCCCTGCCTTATCCTACTCCCGTAGGGCCGGCGCAACGGGTATTCGTCGTCCAAAGCACTCTATCATCCGTCATCTCAGTCATCACTCCCTCCTTGATCATGCCACTTTTCACGCAATCTATCTGTCTCTTTCTAGGTCTACCTCTACCGGTGTATAAAGTGTAACAACCTGTTGTTTGATTTTCAGGTATACAAAATGAAGTCAAAGGGAAAATACGAAAACGATGCTAAAGCCGAACTAACAGTGACACTCGATGAGGCTATGACGCTAACAGGTTTGAATAATTTCTATATTTTCTGGTATTTTAAATTTACCACACTAACTTGGCTCTGAGCCCTTCGATGGTGATATATTGTACTATAACACTAAAAAGTAGACGTGAATTTGGGTATAGAGTAGGGGTAGTCTAAAACCGTAGCACACATTACTAAAGGGTGGGAGTCAGAAAGTTACAAAAAATATCACGTGATTAATAAATAACCTCCAATCAAAGATATCGGTATATATTACGTAAGGTATTAAAAGTAATAAATCGATACCGCGCTGGAGTGAGCGGCTCAACACTAAATCATCGGCATACACGTCCCATCCCTATGACAGCTGTCAATGACATTCAGCGCGCCAATCCAGGCGGGGATAATAATTAAATTATTGTAAAATAATAATACTATTGTCTGAAAGTACGATGTGATTTTCTAAAAGAAAGTAATCAATAAAACTCTTATTTGTTTGTTAGAAATTTGAATATATTTGCAATTGCCGATTCCATAATATAAAAGGTTTCCTTATTACTCGGTACATATTTTAATTAGGATGATTTTACGTTTAAACGCTACTTGAGTTATTGCACTCGACAATTACGACCATGAGATGCCTCGTTAATATAGATTAGATATCATTCTTACACATGATTTACGGTGTCTTATTAAAGTTGTGTAAGATCTTTTTTTAATCTGTTTACATTGTCATTTAAAGCGTAATCAGTGAATTATTATATTATTCATAGTTACTATTATCAAACACTAGCTGTTCCCGTGCGACTTCATCCGCATGAAATTATGAAAATTTTATTTTGTTTACATTTGTCAAATTATCAATTACAAATGTCAGAATGACATGACATCATGACAACCTTGCTTCCTTGCTGTTGGCAGCAACTTATGATCTCTTTCCCACATTAGGGTTTTTATCCAAAATGTTTAACCCCTAAGTTTAAGGGCGTTAAAATACCGGCGTTAAAATAACCTAAACCGTGACGCAAGTGTAAGGCTTTTTAATTGGTTATAACTGTTATTGTTAATTGTTAATCTGTTATTTTTCAATAAATTATTTCAATTATTTCTATTATTCAATTATTTTTATTAAAAAAGGATTATTCAAAAATATGCAGTTATTGCTGACATCTTAAGCAACAAAGAAGTGTATGTTTACGCTTTATTATAATAGTATAGAAGTATAGATGAAACATAGTCAGCAGTGGAAATTTAAGTTATAAAAATTTCAAGTTTTTCTTGCCTCTTAAGTTCTACTATATTGTATTAGATCGATTAAAGAGCCCGAATTAAATTTATTTTATTAACTAGCTTTTGCTCGAGACTCATTCCGCATAGAATTAAATAAAACAAAAGTGCGTAAAGCGTATGTGCTCTTTTAGGTTATCCTCTACATAATATGCCAAATTTCATCGAGATCCATTCAGCAGTTTAAGCTACGAACTCTCAGAAACATCTATCCATCCATCTAACATCATTTGTAAGATAAAAATGTGATTATTCTTATTTTAGGGTAGCTAATGGTAAAATGGTATAGGACTACGTAGTCATCCAGGGTAATTTAAACATATCCCACTAACCTATATTAATTCTAACATGTAACAAGCATCCCAATTGCATGTTATGAATAATTAGCAATAATTAAGTCATTAGGTCGTCTTATCACGCAGTATATAAGCCACCAGCTGCTATTTATCTAAACTATGATACTCGTATACATATGTTTACATTTCACAGGTCAAACTTAATACTACACAATTACGTTCTGTTTTGTAAACAGGTTTCAGCATATAACAAAGCACATAAAATCTTCTAACCAGTTTTATAGGATACTAGCTGTTGCCAGCGACTTCGTCCACGTAATATTAAGATAAAAAGTCGTCTATAATATGCCCGTCTATGTCGGCTACACTTCAGTGAAAGTCCGGTCGAAATTAGCCCAGTCGTTTCAGAACAAACGCGGCTTACGGACTGACAGATTGACACAATTTTTTTAAATGCGATTTTCATTATCAGCAACTTTGGAAATTCGGAGTTTCTCTTTTTATATTACAAACATACACTCCAATTTTATTATATGTATAGATAGATTAGCAGAATAATGCTTTTTTCCTGCTTTTGGATTTTAAAGCATTGAACCTCGTGCGGTTCATGCATATTCGTAATTGAAATAGATTGTATAATCCACAGATAATATGTTAATATACTAGTGTAATCAATTCTGTTGTAACCTCCTGTAATATATATTTTAAACTGATTTATATTCTTCCTAAATGACAGTATTGAAGTGGAAACAAGCCAGTAAAATAGAGAGTACTATCATGACAGCTACTGGTATAATGTATTCACACGTGCCAGTAAAATGTCAACGAGATCGTATGACCCCTACCTCAAATTATACATGGGAGTAGCTGGCACGTTCCAGTAACCGGCATGCAGGTATGCCAGCTCCTCGGATGTGGCTTTAACTATTGAAGTCAAGGGCCATTATTACCTATGATTTTCTCTAAATAACCGTAGCATTAGAAATTACCGTTCGGGAAATTCCCAAGAACAATATTTGTTGATCGAGTAATGACGCTAACATCGTGTGATTGAGGTTACGTTGAGAAAATATTTACAAGAGATTATAATTACGTCAACTCTTTTAATTTTCATAATAACTACCGTTTTATGATTGTATAAGTACTGAAAATAAATTGTTAGATCGAATTGAAACACAAAAACTGCGTTCACAGTTTTGTTTTTGTAATTTAAAATATTTTTCGAGTTTCACTATTATAATAAGACTTTTCTCAGCATTTACCCTAATAGGAACTCCCTTTCAAAATACATGAGCTTAATAGCATAGAAGGAAAGTTTTCCGTAGATCACCCTTTTTCTGCAGATCCCCTCCACCGTCGATTAAGCGTAGGCAGCTTGCTTTTGAGGATAAGGGAAGCGGTCACTTCGCTATTTCCGCGAAATGAAGTGGTCGATATCCGTTTGCTACTTAAGATATAAAAAAACTAATAAATTAACTATAACACTGCGTTCACTTTCAAGATAAAGTGCACAAGGGTCAGCTGGTCATCAGCCGCGTCTTAAGACGCTCGTTAGTCGTAGGTAAAATACTTAGTTGCATAATATTGAAGCAATCAGATTGATCAGACCTGACTCACGGATCACTGACCTCCGCGAATATGTTGCAAATGAAACAAACAGATGACTTCTTAGAAGACGTGATTTCCTCTAAGTTTGTCACCTAATGGTGAATTTGTATTAACAATCAACATTGAGTAGATTTGTTGTTGAATTTGTATTTTAATATATTGATTTGCAACAACCGTAACATATTTACCTAGGTTTAGATTAACTTTTGCTTTTATAGATTTACATTTTATCAGAGTAACTATCTTTATCAACGTTTTCTGTATCGTTTTCAGTACTCATACGACTTTTAATAGACTTTATATGTATATTTGTATGAGTACACATTAGTGTATTTCAAGGTTATACAGAAATCTATAGTACATGAGGTAAACGTACCAGTAATTGATAACCGTAATAGTTAGTACATTTGTTCAGGTTTTGGGGTATACAATATATCGCACATGCTGCTGAGCGGACTGATCCTGATGGGCGTGATTCTGCAGAACCTAGCTCTGGGCTACGTGCTGCCGGCTGCCCAGTGCGACCTACACCTCTCGCTGCAGCAGCGCGGCTGGCTGGCTGCTATACCATTCTTAGGTAATTACATTATCGAAAACGAGAAGGCAAGTCAGATGTCTAGGAAAACCGCATGTATGAACGGATGAAACTACTTAAAGAATGCACTAAAGAACTGAACCGCTTCACGACAGCCATCTCACTCGAAAATATATAATAGATTTTCTAGTTTTCGTAACAGGACTCAAGCCCTTCGGTGTCAACGAATACGATCTAACGACCTTTGAATTTCTCCACTTACAACTGTAATGTTTTGTATTCTTCTAGCTGTGATCCTGACGTCGTACTTCTGGGGCTGGCTGGCGGACACACGCGGCCGTCGACCTGTGATGCTCTTCTCTATGGTCGTATCAGTCGTCATGTCCACACTCGCCAGCTTTGCCCCGGATATCATCTCGTTTGCTGTTCTCGAGTTTCTTTCCGCCATCTTGTAAGTAGATCGTTTATTGTTTATGATCTAGATATTTTTTTAAATTTCGAACGAGCAATTGATAAGCTTTTTGTTAACCGTCTATCCAATACATTTGAACAGAGCGCATGAGTTCTACACAGCTCATCTAAGATATATTACGGCGTCTTTATGAAACAGATAATTTCGTCTGTCTTTGTGTTGAATTTTGAAGTAACCCTTATTGTGTTGCAGCATGTCAGGCTCTACTGCGGTGGTATACACATACCTCGGTGAGTTCAACAACCTGCGACACAGAGACAAGATGGTAGCCTTCGGGTCGTCCTTCGTGGGTATCGGTACTGTCGTCTTGCCAGGTAAATTGAACATTATAGTTTTAGTATTAAGGTTTTGAATCAATAGATTTTTTTATAAACAGCAAGAAACAAATTTGACTTGGAAATTGATTCTGTTCATTTGTAGAAAGTATATATAGAAATGCTCAGAGGTTTCATTTAAATGTATAACAGGATATAAAAATAACTTTTTGCAACAGACTGAGGTCTTTAAGGGAGATCCTTGTAGATATAAAATAATTTTGCTACATAATATTTGAATAATAATGGAACAATATTGATTACACCAGTGATCTATTTCACGTAATTGCTTGTTTTGTAAAAAAAAAGTTGTCTGCTTCAGGTATCTCATGGCTTATACTTCCTCACGACTTCGCTTTACCGATTCCCTTCCTCGGCATCGCGTACCGTTCCTGGCGGCTCCTGATAGTGGCCTGCGCAGTGCCTTACTTCATCAGCAGTATACTCCTGATCTTCGCACCGGAGAGTCCCAAGTTCCTTTACTCCTCTGGACAGTACGATAAGTGTTTGAAAGTTCTGAAGAGTATCTACGCTATCAATAAATGGATGCCCGCAGATAATTATCCAGTAAGTATAAAAAAAAAGTATTATTTTTATTGAATCATGTTTTATATGCAGAATATTAAACTAATGCGCGGTTCACACTTGGACAGTTGCAACTACCAACCATAGATTGCCTTACTGGTACCAGTTAGCGTTCACACTGTACTATTTGATTGAAAGTCCAGTTATTGCGAGCTATTGGCCAAGTGTGGACCACGCATAAAAAACCGTTTACAGTGTTTCTTTATTTTTTAATTTCTTAAATCTTTGAACTTTTCTTTAATTAAACTTCACCTATAAAAATGGTACAGCTTGAGCAAGTTCTGAATGGCAGAATCTAATTAATGATTATGTGATTGGATTGCCAAAGTCTTAAGACTATTGTCACTTCCCTTGTTATTTAAATTTCAAATTCTTATAAGTAGCTAAATATAGATTGTCTATAATTCGAAAAAAAAAAGATGAATGAATGAATATGTATTTATTGCCACAAAATAGAAATTACATAAAAGGATTTATTTTAAGAAAACACAATCGTAGCAAAAGGTAGCCAGCTTAGCGTATGCAGGACGGACTAAGCCGTTCCTGCGCTGATTTTCAACTGGCTCCTTCGCACTCAAGTAATATATAGCTTAACTATTAGGGTAACCGGTCCTTCTAATTACATACCTATACAGAAATAAAAATTGATGGTGAATTGACTTCAAATTTTTCTTTGTATTTCAGGTAAAAGCCCTCGTAACGGATACACATTCAGGTAAATGCGAGCCCGCGCCTGTGTCCGTGCTAAAGTCAATGCGGGACCAGACCGCGCCGCTGTTCCGGCCGCCGCTGCTGCCGTGGACCACACTCGCCTGCTTCGTGCAGTTCGGAATATTCGCCACGTAAGCATATTGCTGTTGTTGATAATACAATGATTAGATGGAGTTTTATGGACCAAATATGCACCGCTCTTAACACAACTATACATAGCGTCATACATGTTGTATGGAATCGCACAGAGTGGAGAAACACCCTTCGAGATAGTGTCAAGGAGAGTGGTCGCGACCCTCAGGAATGAGGAAACGATCCGGAGAGAGAGATGGAGTTTTAAACGCACCCTTTGTTTTCTTCAAGCTTACTTTTTACTAATATTATATATACAAAAGTTTAGTTAGATGGATTTTAGAGTTTGTAGCCTAAACTTCTGAACGAATCTCAGTTAATTTTGACATAAGGAATTTCTATTAGTAATTTCTACTATCAAAGTCCATCTTAGTAATGTATTATGTTAATATTTCACTACACAACTTCTCTAATTGAAGTATTCAATGTTGCCAGTACTAACGGCTTCTACGTGTGGTTCCCGACGATTTTGAACTCGTTGGCAAACCACGGCGCTACCGACATGAGGATCTGCGACATACTAGATGCTAGTAAGGCCTCCGTGCTCAACGAAACAGTGGTACCTAAACAAATTTTATTTAACCTCATTAAAAACGCGGGCCTTTGACTGAACTATCGCACAACTTTAGTCGCGCTTTGATTGCCATGACCTTATATAGAAGTGCATACTCGACTTTTAGTTGTGCAACTAAACAGTTGAATTGAAAGCGAAACAATCGACAATCAGTTGTGCGATTGTTTTGTTTATTGTCCCTCTAATTCTATCTTTACTATACTCGTAGTGACTCCTGTATTAATATTGCAATTCTTCTTAACAATCCTTTTAAAAAAGTAGAGGTAGCATTAGTTCACATTTAAAATTAATAATTACATTGTTCCTCTATCCATAGGTAATCTGTGACGATACAATGAACACTGCTACATTCGAAAGGTCCATTTATATTGGCCTAGTATTCTGCTCCATGTACCTGATAGTAGGCTTCGTGGTGGACTTGGTGGGGAAGAAGATGATCCTCGTGTCCGTGCTGTCTGTCACCGGCGTGTGCGGCATCGGAGCGAACCTTGCAGCCAATCAGCATTTCGCTGTGGTACTGTTCGCCATCTTCCAGATGTCTGGAGCGTGCATTGGTCTCATGAATGCTGTCAATGTGGAATTATTCCCTACTAAATATAGGTTAGTGCTTTCATATGACTTTTTTTTAATCTGTTGAATTACTTTGAATTTAACTGATCTTAGGTTCAGATTACACGTAAAACGGAACGAGTTTTTGGCAAGTACAAAAATATGCGTGATTTTTTTTTAGAGCTATGGCAATCTGCCTGTCGATGATGATGGGCCGCGTCGGCTCTATGGTGGGATCTAACCTGATCGGACTGTTCCTCGAGACAAACTGCGGCGCCAGCTTCTATCTATTTGGAGGGATTATTATCGGTAATTTCCGTAACTACGTATAAAGTTAAAAAAAAATAAAAAAGAATAAATCATTATTAACACGTAATATTTTACAGTTTGCGCGGTTCTCTGCCTGACACTACCAAACAAGAAGCGGGAAATCTCTGCAAAGAAACAGACAGAAGAACCAGCTCAAAACGAAACCCACGAACCGGTATGAACCGGTAACAACCGGATAAATGGAACCGGAATAAAAATAATACTCAAGTTTAAGACGACTGTAAGAGGCTTTGAGAGGATTGAAAATGATTTTGTAGTGCCATATATAAATGACGAAAAGTTTATTTTGTGGTTTACTGTGTGATATTTTCAACCTCCTTAGACAAATACAGGACAAGTTAGTTGAATTAAGTAGTCCAATTAATTTAAAACATTCTAAGTTAAAATCAGTTTATTACTTATGTTTCGATTTAACATTTTAATTTATTGAATATTGTAAATATTAATATTAAAGAATAAATAGTTGTAAACGTGTTTGTTTTCAATAAAAATAACAAAGTATTTTCCTTAAGGCGTCACGTTTTGTTGACGATATCACTGTAACCAATTAAACTACTATTAAATGTAAATGAAAAAATGTAAATAGTTATTGATTGTAGGTAGCTATTGAACTTAATTACACAGTTTTATTTTAAACTAGCTTTCGCCCGGGACTCCGTCCGCGTGGAATTAAAAAACAAAAGTGAGTAGCCTTTGTGTTTTTCCAGACTATTCTCTACATCTTTGCGAAATTTCAGCAATATCCGGTCAACCTTTTAAGCTACAAACTCTAACAAACATCCATTCATCTAAATTTTCGCATTTATAATATTAGTAAGATTAACTGTCGCCCCCAACTCCATCCTCCCTGAATTAAAAATTAAGTAGCATAAGTGTTCTTCCAGAGTATGATTTATGCCAAATTTCATGGAGATCTGTTTAGTCGTTTACGAAATACCTTATAACAAACATTCTTTCAAATAAACAAGCTAACCAAAAAAAATTAACAACATTAATATACCACTTACAACTTAAAATTAGCAACGAGGCATATTTTCCGGCAAGATACAAAATGTCTGAACAACTTGTTGCTCTGCGCAGAAAACATGCGCGGCAACATAACCTCAAAATTGAAAATTCCAACTCCTGAAAATGAACAGTGATTATGAAAGCAAGTTTCCGCCCGCCCTTAGCAACGGAACTGGTAAGTTCTTGGTATCCGGGAAACCCAGGAAGAGGGCAGGAAAATTTCAGTGTTGTGGGCGGTTTGACTAGGGCAGCAGAAAAGCTAGGAGGTATGCGGTAACCACGTAGCAACGGGATACCGCGCATGCGTAATTATTTTATTGATTTTTCTATCAATGCACAGATGTAATATGAAATGGACAAGGCAGTTATAATGTGTCTTGAAATGTATAACCGTATTGCTAAGGCTAAGAATGTTGTTCAAAAATACACATTTGTATTGTTTGACGGTAAAATTATAACTCTGTTCTCAAAAAGGTTATGTGAAAGTAAAGTTAAGGTTTTGAATATAATCTTTATTTTTCCAATACCTTCTCCAAACTAAACTAATTTCAACATTCTTCCATTTTCCTAGTATTTCACTTGAGGAATTTTTCTACACCTACGGCTGTCTGTTCTCCTTGTACACGGCATGTCGTGAAAAGTTTTGGCGAGCTTTCCAAAGCTTTTCCGTGGAAAGCTTGCAAGGAATAAACCTGGGAAAATGGATATTTAAATAGTTCTGTTACCGTTAATTCATAATTTTTAACGTAATAATTTAGTTCTTGTTGTCAACATTTATTTTGATAAAATTTTAATCTACTTGAAAATTACTGTATTATAATTATAACTATTATAAAAATTTAAACATGAAACACGTTCTAATTCTTTAGTTGTGTACTCAACAATCAACAATACCACCTTGCATCGACCTCCAAAAAAATAAGCAAAATGCTTTCCAAGGGCATCTGTACACTTATTAAAGCTTAGAAGAGGGTCTCTGTAACCTTGACACACTTTTTATAATGAAGATCTCAAGTATTAAGAAGAGCTATTGAGAGGTGTAAAAATATCGGCATATTGAAAGTCCATAAGTTTCATCGCATACTTTATCGACGTCTGCACGGTATATTCTTTGTAATGCACTGGATGTTGATATTCTCTGTGTTTATTACTGATATAAATAAATATACATCTTGATAGACATTTGTTTATAAAAATTATTTACAGTAACATATTTTAACCTACAAGTAGTTTATTTTTAGAATAACATAATTTTATTATAATAAAATATACAAGTATAAGAAAACCGACAAAAGTTACCGGTTAAATGGTTAGTGTGTACGTGGCTTTATACTAGTGACAGTGACAGTTGTCTCTGACAGCAGCAGCTGACGGACCTGTGCTTGACTTTGATTAATTTGTGACATTCTGCTTCTCTTCACCATTAACGATTTCTATTTAATGTCTTCCTACATTTTGTAATTTAGAAGACAACGATCGGAAAACGTGAATTTGTGGAAGAAACACGCGAGTGCGATCTGTGAAATAAGGTGAGTTTTCGTCCATTTTTAAAAACAAAATAAGGCACCCTTGAATATTTTCAATTATCTCCAATGTATTTGATGTTGATGGTAATATTTTGGTAAGTTAGTAATGTTATATAAATTGCAATGTTTATAACAAACCACATTTGCATTACGATGTTTGATTTTGGGATATTCTTTTAATTTACTCTAATTACATGGTATACTTTTGGTATGCTATTTATTATTATTTTTTAAATGAAATATTCAGTTAAAATGATCAAAGTATCGAAGCTTTATGACATAGTTTAGTTAATTTGAATTTAAATGACTTATTTATACTTCTGTTTATTAAAACATAAAAAGTTTTAACTAATATTTAAAAGCAACATTATAGCAATTTTTTTTGTTATTTCCAACCAAATTAATCAACAATTCATATTCAATATTTGCATTGTTTCTCACTCCTTCACCATTAGTAGTTTTTCTATGCTTTTGGTAGTATTTTCTAGATACTAACCATCAATATATTGCACAAGTTATTGAACATTAATTCTTTGTAGTATTTTACTGTAATTATTATTAGTTTCTATTATGAAAACACTTGTCTAAAAACATACTACTCTCTTTTCCCATTGTGCTGAGTAAATCAATAGAATCCAACAGCAATGGGAAAAAATCCCATTGATTGGTAGGACAATCCCATATTTTCAAAGGTAAAAAGAAATGAAAAATGTTTTCTAGGGTTTTAGAGAGTTCAAAAAGTCAATGTTATAAAACATTTTGCTTAACAATTATAGCTAAAGTAACAACAGTAGAACCTCAATAACTCAAACCTTGGTAACTTAAAACCTCTATAACTTCAATAAATAATATGTTCCCTTCCCATCAGAGCTCAAAACCTCTATATCATAGACGCTTGATAACTTAAAACCTCTATCATCATCATCATCATTACCAGCTCGCTATACGTCCCCACCGAGGGGCTCGGAGCGTACCCTGAATTAGGGCGATTAGGCCATAGTCAACCATGCTGGCGCAATGCATGTTGGTTGACTTCACACATATCTTTGAATTTCTTTGCCGATATGTGCAGGTTGCTTCACAATCAGAACCTTTATAACTTAAAATATTTTGTGTTTCCCTTGGACTTTAACTTATTGAGATTCTACTGTATTTTCCACAATTTGTAGTTGTATTTAAAAACTAACCACTAATCTATTACCCTATCCAAAAAAACCGTTAATGAATAATCCTTTGCTAATGGCTTCGTGAAACCATATAACAAAAGTGTATGTAGTTGAGAGTATCTGGTTACTCTGTACACGCAAATCCTATTACATAGGTGTGTCCGATTCCTTGTTCTAAAGAGGTTATGTTTTGTGATTTATTTTAAAAAGTTAAACTAGCTTGCATGTGAATAGTATGATGTTTATAATCTATTGGGTGAAATAATTATTTGGAAAAGGTGAATTATTTCATATATTGTAATAACTGTTGAGTTTTTATTTTACGTTTTTTTAGAATATAGTAGTCTACAATTAACAGTCACGTTATGAAGTTACAGTAGAACCTAGATAACTCAAACCTTGGTAACTTAAAAAATGTTCCCTTCCCATCAGAGCCCAAAACCTCTACAACATAGACCCTTGATAACTTAAAATATTTTGTTCCCTTGGACTTTAACTTATCGAGGTTCTATTGTACATTCAAATATTGTATTGTTTATTTTAGATATTGTAATATAACTACTAATGCTGTTCAGACAGATGAGAGTAGACCTTTATGTAATGATACAACAAGCATTATCAATAGAAATCTCAAATGACAATGTGAAAAAAACAGTTGCATTGTTTTGTATAGCGACTTTGGCTTAGTTTTTAACAATCAGTATAAAAACGTAATGAATATTGTCTTTTATGTTTTAATTATATTAAAAATTCGTGCTTTGTGCGTACTTGCGGAATATTGAAACATATTTTTATTTCGTTTAGTAATCACCGGCTAAAATCTAACAGTCGAAAATTTCGTTGTAATTTGGAGTTTAAACATGACATTATTTAAGATGCTGTATCATTTAATTGCCGTTTTAGTATTTGGCAGTAAAAAATTGAAAATCAAAAGTTGCTTGTACGATTCTTTTTTTTTAAATTCAAATTAACACATTATTTTTTAATGCCGACGACGACGCGAACTCGCGGAAGACCTACCACTTGGCAGACGACGATCCAATAGGATATGAAGGAAATAAAACTTGACGAACAAGCCTCTAAGATTCGTGCTTGTCTGGAGACTTAGGACAAGAAAGCCCGACCCCAAATAACTGGGAAAAGGCAAGGATAGAAGTGGTAGTAGTAATACAAATTACCGATTCTATAGAAGAGAAGTGGACCAACTGCCTCATACCTCCGTGGCGACACCCTTAGTACACATTATGTTAGTTTTACGAAGCTTCGATCTATGTATTAAGCTGTAAAATGTATGTTCGGCGCCGGAAAAGACATAAAATTTGTCTGGCTATTTATAGCCTTTGATTTCATTAACACGGATCGCAAGGAACTTTATGTACTCGTACTAGTAAATAACATTACATGTTACTTGCTATCAAATTTACATGTTTGTTTAGAAGCATTAAAGTTAAATGTAAATTACGGTTTAAACCGGATATGTGACATCAGAAATCGAAGGAGCCGTATTATTCAATCGTAATAACGGTACTTTTTTTATGTTTTATCCAGTAAGTATTTCAATTGGGCGTTGATTCAACAAACTAGTTTGATCAACCATTAATCACCGTTCAACGTTTCAACCAGTTGAAATTTTACGTAACTTTTAATATTTACATAGGAATCACTGATCTTTTACGATGCCA